TCAGTTGGTTAGAGCATCAACTTTGCAATTTGAGACCGTCCAACGACCGCGATCGAATCCTGGCTTTGCCAGAATTTTTTTTTTATTTTTTTTTTATTTGTTTAGAAATTATGAAAATTTAATAAATACGATTATTGTTGATTATTTTTTTAAATACATTTTAATTATTATAATAATCTGGTTTTACATTTTTTAATGAAATTATTTTGTGATCGTAGGAAAAATATTGTACATCACTTGTGTGAAAAGTGATTTTCCACACTCGTGTGATAGTCGCACTCGGCTTACGCCTCGTGCGACAATATTTCCCACTCGTGTGAAAAATGTCACTTTCCACACTCGTAATGTAATATACTATATTTTAAATTTAAAAAAAAGTAATTGTGAAAAGTGACTTTTTTGAAAAATTTAAAATAAATATTTTTACAAGTATAGTTAAGTCCATCCTTGGACCCACTATATGTTAAATAATTTATTGAGGATCTAAATAAAACAAAATAAAAAATTGTATAAACTTATTATTAAAAAGCTTTTGAAATCAAGTACCAATATCACACAAGTAGAGGTAGGTATAATTAATATAGGTATATCACAAGGTGACACAATTATAAATGTGTGATACCATAAGGGGCATAAAACACTGAACAATTGGACAAAAGTAGGTCTAAAGGGTATATAAGGAATATCCCAAAGGTTCACTAGAATCGAAAACACTGAACGATTGCACGAAAGAGTATAATAAGGTACCTATATTACAAAGGTTCACTAGCAGCTAAAATGGTGAACCATTGTACAAAAGTAGTTAAAAAGTGTATTTATTTAAGGTATATTTCAGAGGTCACTAGATTTTTATTAAGATGGCAGTTTTACGATGCTAAAAAAAGATATTTACCTACTAACCGGTACTAATCATAGTTTTAATATAAATATGAACTTAATTATATAGTTTCTTCTGAGAAAAATAACTTTGGAAGTAATAAATTTATTTATTTATCCATTATTAAAGAAAATAACATGTATATAGAAATTGAAAAATATGCTCGTTTAAATCGTTGCACTTATTTATAGTTGATTTTTACTTACTTTGTTGTTTTAAATAAATAATCAAATTTATTTTGAATTTTAAAAATTTGATGCTTAATAATGCATGTCCAAGTTATACAGAGCTTTTTATAAAAAAACATGTTTTTTAGCACGATATTCTGCTATGAAAGAAAAAGAAATAATTACAGATGTTACAGACCAATTCTGTAGTATTTACTTTAGCTTCTAAAATTTCTGAGATTTTTACTAGAATTATAATCCAGCACAAAGGAACCTACAACATAATATTTTTAAAATGTATTTTTAGTGATTAAGAATATTATTACACTAGGGCGATCATACGTACAGCATTTTGCTGTATTGTACAGCATTTTTAAAATCTGTCCACCATTTGATATTGTGGAGCAAACGTACAACAAAACGGCATAGATATATATCCAGTGAAATGTTGTATTTATCCAGCAAAACGCCACTACTGTTCAGCAATGGTAACACTTAATTTACTGAGACGTACCAAATTAACATGTTATGTATCTTTAGTGAGGTACATGAGCACATCTGTACTGCCGTCATAACAAGAAAGGTTCTATCTGCAAAATTAGCAGTTTTTTTATTTATGTGCATTTGTCTACATTTTATCTTTCTTGATATCGAAACGGAATGTTTCGTATTTGCATCGTAAATGTACTAAAATGTTAAAAAGTTACACAAAAAAAGGTTTAAAAGATAATAAATATGTCTGCTAAAAATAGTAAGAAACTCGATTATTTCGAAACAACAAATTTTCTAGGGTGGATGGCTCAGTGGTAGAGTCTCTGCCTGCAGATCCAAGGGTCGAATCCCACGGTTGGTTGGGATTTTTTTATTTAATTTAATTATTTAAAAATAATCTGATGCCTAGCTAGGATTCCCCAGTCGATCATTCACTGTTGGGTTCTAATTAACAGTGCTGTTCCTAAAGTAGTGCTGGAAAACAGTAACAAAGACTACACTAGCAGTTGAAGCAGATGACACACAAAAAAAACAACAAATTTTCAGATAGGACCTTTCAGCTAGGACGGCAGTATATGTAGGGTTGTCAGACGTCACACTTTAGGCGTATTTGACACGCTTTTTGACTTGCTTGTACGCGCAATGCCAAAGTACGAAAATAGTTGGGAGCTAAAAAAATGTTCACTTTCGAAAATTTATCACCAATTGGTGTATTCGTGTTCAGCGTCAAGCATTGGATCAACATAAATTGGTCACCTTATATTACCCAGAAGTTAGTTGTGTAAATCTCTATTAAAAGTATTTCCTGTAAAATGTAGGCAGTCATTTAATTGTATCTTCTCCTTTACAATGATTTCTTTTTTATTGTAGTTGGAAACTGAAATACTGCAATCTAAAACAACAGACAAAAAATTAGAAAATATGTTTCTATTTTATTAAAAAGAACTTACCAAACTTATTCAAACGTATTATTTTACAAATTCTTTAAACTCTCAAATACATAACGCAAGAAAAAGTGACAAGTGACATTTTTTTGTTTTTGTTATCACATATGACAAACGAATGGCTACGTTCGAAAACAATGTGATGTTCACAGTACTTCTCGTGAATACTTTTTTAAAATTATTTTATTACATTGTGTTATCATAACAGGTACCTTTAATAGGTAAGTAACAAATAGAAGTTTTGCGAGGTTCTGATTTCTCTCAACAACTTCTCATGAACGTTGCATTTACATTGTATAGTAATGTTATTACGTTCCCTTAAAACAACATCGCCGAAAGTCTTGGCAGTGTTACGTGCTAGCTGGGAATGATATAAACTACCTAACTTTAAACAAATCTAAGATTGCAGTTGCCAGTCAAAAAAAATCATTGTACATTGTACCAGAAGGCATTTCACAAGTATGCCAATTTTATTATATATTTTATTGGAACAAGAATAATTTCTTGACCCTAGTACACTTTTGTATGAATAATTGTTTTATTTTGTAGGTTGTCCCTAATGAATTTGAAGTTATAGAAATTTGCCTATCTATAAATGCTAGAGATACTGATAAACAGTGTCAGACATTACAGTTTTTTTTAAAGACGATATAAAAAATAAATATACCTATATCATGAAGACTTAATTAAATATTTACCGATATCAGTACCTGGGATGTAAACTGAACTATGTCGTACTATTTATAGAGGCATGTTGGAGATATGAAATATGTTACCAAAACTAACAAGTCATGTATATTAAAAAAAAAAATTAATAGTTAGATCATCAGTAAACAATACATATTGTAACAATAATTGGGGCTAACTGCATTTTTTGTCGAAATATAATTGATATATGTAAATATGGAACACAAAAGTGTCCAAACAATATTTAGTCAGCTCTACTAATAAGTTGAATAGAATGACTGCAGTTTACCTCCGAGGCACTGATTACACATTAAATAATTTTTAAAACTTTGACTTTATCATTCAAAAGTCTATTATGTTATTGTTTTAGCCTTGATTAAATTATTATTATTATTATACTCTTTACACAGTAGTCTGTGAAGAGTATTATAGGTTTACATTCGTCAGATGTTACGTTTTTGCCTGCACGATAAGTAAAAAACGAAAAATGATATCAACTTGAAAATTTTAAACAAAAAACAAGCTCTATATAGTCCACGCGATGGGTGGTTTCTATTCGCAAAAGGTCGGAAAGAAATGAGATTTGGTAGGATGGTAGATATGGGTCCCCTGATACTACACCTAAGTTTGCCGCTCGAGGGGTGGAGGGCTGAAAACTTTGCGTACACAATTTTGACCTCTACATTTTTTGTCTGCGACTAACAGTTCCCGCTCTACGACGCGCCAAAGTAGGGAGTTGATTTGCAATGTTCAAAAAAATGAGAATTTCAGCGTGGATTAAGACGAAGATCGCTATGAAACAGTTATCTAATATTTTTTTATAAAAGAGTAATGATTTAATGATTTCTGAGTCTGCAGTTGCCCGATTTGATACATTTGGTCGTATATAATAAATGATATGATGTTTTGAAGCGCGCCCCTACATATTCCGACATAAAATTTTTGTAATTATCAGTATCTACGGTCAATATTTCCTTATTTTTGTTTACCTAGGCACCAAATTTATTCTTTCTGTGTATACATGATACAGAAAAGTATCATTTTCAACTCGTTTCCATACCACCCTTAAGGTGGAGTTGATCTGCGCGTTTTTTTTAACGTGGTATGCCCAAGAGGCCTAATCCTCAGTCGATATTTGGGTTTATTCGTCAAACTCGGTGTTGTATGTTTGGTCCTCATCGTCCTGTAACTGATTGCGAACGTTTTCGGCATCTTCTCATTGTCGTCGTCTAACACAATCTGGTCCGGAATGTTTTCGCAGGACATCCCAGTACAGTGTAAGCACAGAATCCAACATTTTAATCCTATTTTACGACAACCACAAGCAGATCCACAACCTTTCTTGCATCTGCATGAGATGCTCATAAGTAAAACATCTGGAGTTGGTTCCTTTGCCATCTTTATTGCGTCCAGTCATGTGGTTGTTCTTAGCCATCCATGATCTTCTGGAGGTTTCTGAACTTCCCGCCAGCTCTGTACTTGACAATAAGTACGCAATAAATGATGATGGCACGCATCTGATGTTAGTGACAGCGCCGCTAAATTGAATGAATTTTTTGAGGTACAAAGTTCGTATACCGCAGAGAGTCCAACTTGTGATTTTCGCTTCCTGCACCATACTGCCTCAACATAAACAGTTCGTCAGTAGCAACGACTTCGGTTAATTCGGCATTGGGGTCGTCAAATACCTGAATTGCGTCTGTTAATGTTGGGTTTTTTACAAAGTGTTGAGGAATCGAATTTTGCCTTTATTGAAAAACGCCGATGTAGTGTCACATCAACTGAAGGTATGCAGAATAACATTTTCTCTACAGCATCGCTATATTGTAAACTCTAAAGCGAATAGAACACATCCTCCTTTTTCCCTCTACCCGGCTTGCGCAAATAAAAATTCGGGATCTCTCTGGCTTTAGCAGTCAACAACACAAGCATAACTACATTTTCTCCAATAACGAATATGGAGTAAAAAGAGGGAGGAAGTTGGATGGGGGTCTGCACAATTAATGAATCCGCTTCTTTGATCGCCTGCTTAACATTGTAATTATGAGCTTTCAACTTTGTTTGCAGCAATGCGATGAAGCACTTTTTGTTGAAACTGTTCGGTAAAAATTGTTCTTGCGATACAGTTGGAATCATGGATTCATCGAAGAGTATATCAGTGTTGCAATGCTGCTTCGAGCAGCGGTTCCTTTCAGCAGATTTCGTACTTGTTTCTGTCCCACTTTTGGGATATCCATCAAAAGCAACAATTGTATTCGTCCCATAATACCTTGCAATATAGTTAATGTAATTTGCACAAATGGTTGCAAATGATTTGCGACGGCCCCACACATGCACGATTCAGCAAAAAGCAACCGTCAATAATATGTATAGTTGTGTCAACTTCTATGACTGGTGTAACAGGCATATAAGCTTTGTACAATGAAGATTTTGCCACCTTGCGCATACCATCCTCAGTGAACATTGAAAACGGAAAAGGCGCAAGTTCGTACTGTAGGTATTCTTTCAGTTCATCGTCAGATTTTTTTGCAATGCATATGCGTTGAAACAACAGAAGTGGATTGATAATAACGGGAATCGACCCAATCTTCACACTACATTTTGCAGCTACTAGAGAAAGAACTTTGTCTTTACGTTTAAATTTCACTGACTTAAAAGTATGACCAAGCATTTTTGGCATCGCAACTGACCCCATTTCGTACGCCTGGTGGCAATTAAAGAATTAATATATTACATACTCGTAAATAATAATAAATAATAAGTTGAGGCTGAACAAGGGGCACTTATAATATTCCACAAACAGGATATTCATTACAACTAATGTACAAAAATAATAAAATTGGCGCCTAGGTCAACAATAATAAGGAAATATTGAATGTAGATTCGGATAATTACAAAATCTTTATATCGAATTATGTAGGAGCGCGCTTCAAAACATCATATAATTTATTATATACGACCCAAATGTATCAAAATTCTTATTTTGTCGAACATTGCAAATCAACCCCCTACTTTGGCGCGTCGTAGAGTGGGAACTATTGGTCACAGACAAAAAAATGTTGAGGTCAAAATTGTGTACGATTTTGTCCTGTACATATTTCAGTTGAACTTTTTTTCTATATAACTTACCACAACGGCGCTATTTCCCGAAAAGAGTCGCCACGCAGTGTTTTCATCCCTCCACCGCTCGAGCGGCAACCCTCCGAGGTCACAAACTTAGGTGTAATATCAGGGGACCCATGTCTACCATCCCACCAAATTTCATTTCTTTCCGACCTTTTGCGAATAGACCCCTTATTCTTTACCCACCTCTTGGAATATATAAGGGGACAAAACCTATTGATTTTGAAAAAAATCTGATTAAAAATAGAGGATTAAGATGAGTTGATATTAAAAAAAATCTTAAATTAAAAACGAAAAACAAAAAGCGATAATAACATGAAATTTTTAGCAAACATCAAGCTCTATAATAAGAAGAAAAAAAATCTGATTAAAAATGGGGGTTTAAGGCGCCGTTAATTCAGCCCGACCAGCAAAATGTCATTCTTACGTTAGGTGGTATACTGATTACCACATGTTTAAATTTTAAATTTTTAATTATAATAACACTAAAATACTCGTATGTGACAAAATTGCCATTGAAAAATAATAAAAATTACGCCAATGACGAAATATAACGATTTTAAGAGAGCGCTTTGCATCGATTGTCCGATTTATTTGACATTGTAGGGTATAATGGCTCCTGCTTACCACCAACCAAGCAGGAGTCATATCAACACATCAAGAGAACACTGTACCTATATTAGCAGTATATAGTTTAATGCCCACTTGAAAATACCAACTGAAAAACGGCCTAAAGACTGTGGCTGGTCATTAAGGGATTGGCAATTTAATAAATAATTAAATAAAGTCTTTATTGTCCCACAGAGAATCTCCATTTACAAGACAATATAAATTAGAATACATACATGTTAGTATAATACAGTTACACATTAAAGATAGACATAATCAATACCATACAGTTAGCAAACACTATTTAACATATTAAAGTTACAAAAAAAATATGTATCTGGGAAAAATAAAACAGAAGACGAAATCATGAACACTATTCCGTTCACATTACATTATATTACAACAACTAGAATATCAGAAAATTATACAAAAAGTTATTTTGTAAAAGTTAAATAAAAATATTGACTGAATTTATCTAAAATTAGTGTTAGTGAATCATAGTTAATATCGCATAAGTTTGCCACATGATTAAAGTTGTTGCACATTCTATGAAGTGGGGAGTTAGAAAGAATACTAGTTCTCGCATTGTCTGAGTAAAACGTAGTAATACTTCTAGAGTTGATTTTAGGAACGTGAAAATCCACTTGATAAAGAAGATTTGAGGAATCGATAGAATTTTGTAGTAATTTGTATAGAAACGTCAGCCCTACATGTATTCTTCTTAGTTGTAATAAATGGACATTTAAACAATGTAGAGTACGATTAAACTTAGAAAAAGCCACGGGCGTCATCAACTAGTCATCGTCTGCCTCACTTTAAAATATTCCTTCTCCGTTGCTCCAGATCGATATACCAGTGGCGTAGGCTCTTATTTAAATAAGAATTAAAGCAGTTTCCTAACAAAAAACATTTATTGGATTAAAAAGTTAAATTTTAATGATTTAAACATTTGTATATTACCTAAATAACTAAACTAAAATAACGTTACATATATTTTTCGACTTTAGACTAATAGACTAATAGTTATTTATGCAACTAGTGCAAAAAGTGAAACTAGAGGAGTACATCCTAGTTCGTCCATTAATGAACTATTATACTCTGTTTTTAAACTAAGAGGAGCGATTTGAATTTAAGTTGGCAATTCTGTAGCCTTCTGATTGGTCAGATTACAGTCAGTTTCACACATTACTTTTTAGCATGAACATCAGCTAATAATTGATATTGTTGACAGTTCTGACATTTTATAATTTGATATCTCATCCATTACTTAGTTTTTTACTTTATTTCGTAAATAATAGTTCTTCAGTAAGCAATTGTATTGAAAATCTACAATTATGGATCCTTCTACACTGAGTACTATTAAAGGTAGCAATTCCTGAAAAGCCTTACAAGAAAGGGAAGACACCTTATTATTTTACATGCTGATTCTGAAGGTTTTGTAGAAAATGCATTATTGGTTTTTGAAGGTAAAAAGATGGGAGATTACCATGAAGAGATGAATTCCGAAGTATTTTAGAAAAAAATAATTGTATTACTGATTTTTTAAAACTAAAAATTGATGAATTTCTAACCAAAATGATTAAAATGTAACTAAATATTCAAGCAAATTTTATTTATTAGAATAGAATAAAACTATTTACAAAATTGTTACAACATTTAAAACACCATCTACTACTTTAGGGATAATCTTAATTTGGCACAATGAGAACATTATTTTCACAAAAAATATTTTAAATACACTTAAAATTAATACATAGGTATGTATGAATAGTTCACTTTAAAAAATATATGTTGACATGTAGTGTTATGAAAATGTTGGTTCCAGTTTTCAAAACAAATTCTGACTCATAGGCCTGTAAACTTTTGAATGCCTTTATTGGTCCTCTAGCGCATTAACCATGGGTTAACACTAAATAAGCCATAATATCCACATTACTCATAGAAGAGATACCAGTTACTGTGTGATCCACTTGTCATTCACTGATTAACTTTTACTTTTTATACCTATAACAAATATATCCTTAAAAATGTAAACAGATCTTTATATTTTATACTAACCTGGCTACATCTGGATATTCCATTAACAATTTTCTTAAATATTTATTATCCATTTTAAAAAGATCATAGTTATTCTCAAAAAGTCGATTTCAAAAACAAGAAAAAAGTATTTCTGACATCAATCAACAACCATATTGACTTTAATTTGACAGTGACATTTCGTTTTAGACACACATTTCAGATTACAATAATGTGAAATTTGCGACCGTTGTCTGGGACCAATTAAAAAATTACTTCTATAACATTTATTCGTTTCTTAACCGCTCATTGGCCGTTCACCGACTAAGGCCGATATAGATAATTATTTCATAAATTTTGAACACGACTATATTTCGAAACTCGCTCTTAGTAACAAATCTAGTTACTTTTCCCTGTATAAATGCGTCTTTTCAATTCGCTCCTCCTAGTTTAAAAACAGAGTATAGTACTCTCGCTGTCTTCACTTTCTTCCGATGAACCCGTATTTTTGTTCGTAAGTAAAAGCTTGGCAAAGCCGAAGTTTGGCTCACAATTAGGCATTCCAAACTGAATGGCTACCAGTGGGTTCTGACGGGTTATAATTTGGCAAAATTATGGCAACCCTGTAGGCCTAGTGATTTGACAAGGTCAACATAAGCTTATGCCTTGAAGTAAAAATGTAAGCAATTATTTTTTTTTAAATATCTAAAGGCTACAAATTGGTTTTAAAACACATTTTTGCTAAACCGATTCATATTAATAAATATTTGCCAGGCAATATGGCCGCTCGTAAACGACCAGCTTTGAGCAATCTATATAACTATATATGTATCATTGACCCTGTTAATGACAACATGACAACAGGGTTGCCATATCTAAACTGTCATTACCCACTGGTAGCCATTTGGACAGGTCGTTGGAATGCCTAATAATAAGGGATCCATGTTTACGCGATAGCTTCTGTTCGAATTATATTCTGGACCATGCGGTAGTCGTACAGCGTTGCCAAATTATTAAGCAATTGTATCTCTATATTAGAAAAACGAAAAAAATCGCCAAAACGCCACTGACGCTTAAATGGGATGGACCTGAGAGAGAGGCAAATTATTGCGGCCTTTGTCAGGTATGATGTGTGTGGCTTTTTCTTAGTTGAATCGTACTCTACCAAAATAGATTGGTCAATTCCATCAAGCCTGCTAGATAAGAATTTAAGAAACGTGCGTTGAACTTTTTCCAATAAATTTATATGCACTTGATAATGCGGATCCCAAACAAACGATGCGTATTCAAGTTTTGATCTTATGAGCGCAAAAAATAGCGTTTTTAGAGCAATTTCATTAGAAAAAGTTCTACAATTTCTTATAATAAATCCTAAGACTTTAGAAGACTAAAAAAATATATTATTAATATGTTCTACAAATTGCAAACTAGAATCAAATGTGACTCCAAGATCTCGCATCTGCATAACCCTTGATAGAGATATGTTATTTATTTGATAATCATGCAAAACCATAGATGGAGTTTGCGACGATATGTACAAATTTTACATTTATCCAAATTTAGGAAGAGATTGTTACTTTTACACCAATCAGAGATTTTATTTAAATCTTCTTGTAGAAATAAACAGTGTAATTGAGAAGTCACATTTGAGTAAATTTTCAAATCATCAGCAAATAATAAATGTTTACACTAATGATGTGGAGAGATCATTGATAAATAATAAAAACAACAAGGGTTCCAAATTAGACCGTTGAGAAACACCTGATGTAGGGCAATATATTCTAGAATAATAATCGTCGTAAGCTACAAATTGTCCTCTGTCGTGTAGATATGATTTTATTAATGTAATGAGAGAAGCACTAAAACCAAAATTATTTAATTTATGAATTAATATTTTGTGGTCAATCCTTTCAAAAGGCTTGGAAAAATCAG